TAATGGTAGCCATTGTTTTCAAACGGATTGTTGCTGGCGGCGTTGTTGTTGTTGGTGCTACGGCTGCTGCTGCTACCATTGTTGTTGTTGGCACCGTCGATGTTGTGGTAGGTGGTACGGCTGCTGCTGCTACCATTGTTGTTGTTGGCACCGTTGACGTTGTTGTAGGCGCCTTTGTTGTTGTTGTTGGCACCGCTGTTGTTGTTGTTGGCACCGCTGTTGTTGTTGTTGTTGTTGCTTAGGCCGAAATCCCCTCTCATTACCATCAGCAACCTGACGCTGGATATCCAGACTGGCCTGCATTGGATTAGCGATGCGAGACTGCACCTGGTCCCGTCTCTCCATGGAGTCCAACGTCTGACCAAAAAACGTTGTCGAACGATCAAGGTAATTATTGAACGTTCTACGCTCAGGCTCTCCAAGGTCAAAACGACGTGCCTCAATCTCATTCATCGAGGTCACCAGATGCATGATCATTCAGTTGACCGCTCTACTTCTACTGGCAGCCCCACGAGTCACACCCTCCTCAGCACCATCGTCTTCGACGGCTCTTCCTGGTCTAGCATCGACAGCATCACCACGATTATCGATCGTCTCTCCAGCAAGAGAGGTATACAGAGTGAGTGGGATCAAGGTGGGCATCTCACTGGTGGCGTTCTCCATCGTATCATGGTAAGCCTGTTTTCAATTGGTGCCGTACCAGTCGCATGTAACCAGTCATTTCGATGTCTGAAGGCAGCACAGAGAGCAGACCACTTAGACTTTAAAGCACTCAAAGGTCTTCTTCCACTTGGTGCTGGTGTTGGTGTTAAATGAGTGCAACATGACACGGTACAACTCATTTCGTTCGGCTAAGGTACGAGTGGACTCAAACCGGTTGTTGTTACTAGCATACAACTCAATCAGAGCAAAGGTTCTCGCAGTATTCCAGTTGGAACGAGTGTAGCTCAGATCTGAAACATCATCAGTGGCATCAGCAGTGACATTAACAGTGGCAGTAGCAGTGGCAGTGGCAGTAGCAGGTGCAGCAGGTACAGCAGGGGCAACAGGGGCAGCAGCAGGAACGACGACAGGAACCTCTTCTTCTTCTGAGACAGTAGTAGCATGCGAGCGGTTGCTACCAGAGGCTACACCATTACCTGTCACTTCAATAAATTGGAAATTGATAGGGTTGTTGTTGTTGTTCTGGTTGTTCATTTTAGAAAAAATTAAGGTAAGGAAACAGTAACAAGAAATTTATTTTGTTTTTTGGCATTTTACTAGTCCATTTTAGGACCGTTTATATCTGGAGGCTTCACATTCGATGACCAAATATTTTTCATTTTTAAGCAGTAAATTAATAATAAAGAAATATGGGCAACATTATTTTTCACAGAATTCAATTTAGGAAAAAAAAATTTATAAAAAAAAATTTTTTAAAAAAAAAAAAAAAAAACGGCGCTTGTCTATATTAGTACGTCTCCTATTTAAGATCTCAATATATTTGTTTCATGTCAGCAGCCTAAATCATAAAAATCTAAGAATTCTCGTCCGTTATCCGTCGAGATCCAATACGTTTGCGTACTCTGGTCCGTTATCCCTGAAAATCCGCTGATTTCAGGGTACTCCGGTCCGTTATCCCTGAAAATCCGTTGACTTCAGGGTACTCCGGTTCGTTATCCCTACAGATCCGATACTTAAGGGTTCCCTGATTACATGAAACTAATGACCAAAATAGATTATAAGAAATTAGAAACGGTTCCGAAATGGTTCAAGTACTCTAAACTTCTATGGGAATTATCTGAGCTAATTTCACGTATAAGATAAGTCGCAAAACATATCAGAACATTCATAAACGTGCGTTGAATTTCAAAAACGTATATACAACGCCCTCCAAAGTATCGTAACCGTTTAAGGTTTTCCTATTTTGTAAAATGACATCACATACTGATTCATAGGGAGACTTTTCAAACATTTTTTTTTCTGTTTTTTGTTATTATTAAGTTATGGATCCAGTTAACAGCGCTTCATAGGAAATATATAAGCTATTATCACTCTTATAAGATGTTAAACCCTTTTTTTTCATAACCTTTGTTGTGATCGAGCTTATATACAGATATAACTCTATCATCAATTCTTTCTTTCTTATTTGATAACCTTTCTATAAATCATTATTGCATTACTCTTCAAATCAAATACATGCTATTACACTCTATTTACTACGCATTGATTACTCATCATCATATAGAAAACAATAGTCATACATTTATTCCAGATAATACAATCCAATGATATGATCGCTCGTCAATAACAAGATTCTCGAAGGTACCATGAGATGCTCGATCTTTAATTGACAATACGCCTATTGTATATTTGACAGGTTTCACTTTAATGATTGATATTCAGCCAGCCCTGAATATGTATATAAAGAACCCAATTTATTGTATAATAAAGACTTTAGTTTAGTTTTTGCAGTTTGATAATTTTACTTCGTCAAATTTCTTTATTTTTATTCTTAATTCGTAGCTTTATCTCTCGAATTTCTCAACCTTTACTGAAACATTTTTATTCAAAACATGTAACCCATTTTGAGTCGACCACATTTTTGTTTAGTCCAATGCTGCTCTAATGGTATCATTCCTTTGGAGACTGGTTCTAGTATTGGTGTCTTTAACAGAGCTATACACAAAATTAATCATGATAACTCGCTCAATTAGTGGGACTGTGAGGAGTGGATCGGGGCAAGAGCAGAACACAATAATTATTATGGTGAGGACAAAAGAAACAGACATTATATATTTATTAGTATTAATACATATAAAATGGATGAGAGTAGAAAACGTTTAATTCAAAGAAAAAAAATAGATCAGATCTTGAATACAGAAATATCAACAAATAAACATGACTACAGTACCAGAGGAGTGTGTGGTGACCTAGCAAGGACATAGCCGTATTAGAGCTAACAAAGGTTTATCCATGCTGATACCATTTGTGATATAAGCTTTACAATAAATGTCATAGTAAGAACTATAAGGATATTACATGACAAGTCTAATTTAGTACGTCTGAGAAATACTTAAAATTTAGTTTAAAGCAAAGAGATTTAAGAAGACTTAACATTTATTAGAAGTAATTTATGACGATAATTTTTGACTGCTATTTATGATGGATTATTTATTGAAATAAAAGAACCAACCAAAAAAAATGCAATTATGTGAGCAAAAGTTAAACGTAAATAGGAGGGAGAAAATCTTACCACCAAGTAGGTATGAATGAATTGAATGGAAAGACAACAAAAGAAACTACAACTACAGCAAAATGTCACACAACTACACTTCACAGCATACAATGAACGACTGCTAGATGTCAATGCTTAAGTTAAAACTTACCAGTGTGTCAAAAGTTAAATGGAGAAAAGATAAACTAAAGAAGAAGAAAAAAAAAGAGAAGGGAAGACGATGATGCTTTCGCATACAACATTTTATATTCGAAGGCAGGAACATGGAAGAAAAAAAAAGATGAAGTAACAAATGAGACAAAATCACGTTACTTCAAATCAGAAGAAGACTAATTAGTGACTATCTAATAATCGTATACATTTTTGGTTAATCAATGATAACTTCAAGATGGCACTAGAGATATCAACACAGCAGACAGTCTTTTATATAGATACTGGTACATTTCATTTATTAATAAGAGACATTTTATGAACAGTCTGAAACTACTCCTATAGTCATTTTATAATTTTACTTTACCTTAAAACACAACAATATATACAATGCTACAAGTCCAAAAACGGCCATACTGAAGCCGAAATTTTGCATAGCATAAAGTAAATGGAGACATAGAACAACATTGAACTGAGAGTTTGTTTTTTCAAATGAAATTCCTACGATAGATTGATCATTTTGCGTTGAAATATTTGTTACATTGATAGACAACAAATACAAACTAATCGGCCTTCTATTTCATTAAATTTTTAGTTACTAAGAATTACGATACATAATTGAAACTGTGTATACCAAGTATTTATTCGAAATATTCGAAAGGGTAATCAGGAACTGACAAAGTAGTGATAAAACGATAAACAACAACAAGCCGTCAATCGTAAATTTCTGGACAGGGAAAGAATTGAAATACATTTTGAATAGATCCAGCAATCCGAAGATGAATAGATGCGGTATACAGGATAATTCCTCACTAAAAACCAAGAAAATAACTATATCAGCAAATACTATTTTTTGACATATTTTTAAACAACCTACATTGTACGGATACCTAAAATACCGTTGCCTGCGCCGCTATGCAAAGTAGTACAACAAAATAACTTGATTTCGTCTCAAGCAGAAACCAATAAAAAAAAAGGATATACAAGACAAAGACTAGAAAATATTTCGTAAAAGTCGAAAACAATTTATAAAAATATGGAAATAGTTTTAATTGATTAAGAATTGTCTTTTCTGACAATTTGAGTAGTTAAAAAAAAGTATATCCCACAAAGCAGATCTGACGCATGAACTTAAAAGTTAATGGTGTCAACAAAGAAAACGTCCGACAGCAACAGTACTAGACCACATTTTAACAGTTTTAGAATCATATCAAGTAGCCATCTACGAAATGATATGGACCCATATCTAGAACTGACCAGATAACCATAGGATTTAGCAAAAAAATGCCCAAGTTGAAGAATAAGTCTTATTTATAGCATACACAACCAGTTGAAAATCTTAAATTTTACTGAAATTCGGTCCCAAAACGTAAATCCGTGAGCAAACTTTAATTTTTTAAAAAAATAGAAGCTGCCGATTGGATGAAAAACCAAAATACGTTATTAAACACCAGATGCATCAAAAAAAAGACGCTAAAAAAATATTGAGGATGCACAAAACCTTTAAATGGGTGTCCTTGAGGGGTGAGGATAGAAGGTCATGGATTTGACCGTTTTTATTAGATAACAAAATGAAGTGAACTTCATTTTTTAAAAAAAATGACATGTAAAAATCTCGAAATTATTCTTAAGGTTAATCTTGAGAATCGTTTTTCAACATTTCGAAATTTCTGTCCGTATTATGGAACCACCAAAGAGTACCAAACTTACACCTGTTAATTATTGAGTATTGAACATCATTTATCACAGTTGAATGCGACATGTCCAATAGATCAACAGCAACCAGCTTGAACACCAGCGTACTTAGAGTTTCGTCCGATTTGACCGCGACAAGATTGCCACCATCGTCCACCTGGTAGTTTGTGAAGATGCTTGCGTTGTCAGAAAGCACTTGCACTGGTTTTTGAACAAGTGTATAAACCTCCAGTTCGACGAGATCACCGCGTTTCAGCACAACCTTTCCAAGTAAACGACGCTTCCCACCTTCGCCAAGATCGAGATCAAAGACAGCCACCATGTTAAAAGCGACTCTCTTACCGGCGATGTATGCAGCACTACCATACTCACGGTTGGCGTTAAAGTACATTTTTTGACCAAAACGACTAAACCATTCCCTCACCTTGGAACCACAAGTCTTCGCATCATTGTCCAAGTAACAACCCATCGCGACATTCCTCAAAGACAGCTCACGACCATTGATCAGGGCCAAGTTACGAGAGGGGTTTTGCTTGTACGTTTTCATGATTATTGCCCGAATGTACTTGTTAAACTATTCATTCTTTTCAGTAGCCAAAAGCACAGGAGAAGCAAAACGAATACAATCCTCCACCAAGTGAATGATCAAGTGTGTTTTCAAACGATTGCACAGAGGGCCACCTGTCTTGGCGTATGGAATGGAAGCACCATTAAGCTGTTCACCAGAACTAGCACCAGCACGAGAACGAACACCAGCACGCGCACCAGCATGCGCACCAGTAGCATGCGCACCAGTAGCAGCAGCAGAAGTTACGTCTTCATCGTCAGAATCTTCACCTTCTTCAGGAGGCACAACATCACGAAACATCACCGATGGCTCATCTACATTTTCAGTTGTAGAAGCTTGATTGGCTCTACGACCCCGACGAGAACGCCTGTTACTTGGAATTGCCGTATGATCAAGGTTATCCAAAGCAACGATTGAATCATTGGCAGCCTTTCGAAGCATCTCAACAAATTCGTCAAAGTTGGTGTCAGGAACGAGGGAGGAAGAAGACAGGCAGGACAGGACAGAGAATGAATGGCTTCTTGAAGCAGGTTATTTAGTTAAGAATAAAAGGGGGGAAAGAAAAGAGAAGATGATTATGAAATATATCTGATAAAGAAAACTGGGAGAAGTGAAATGTATCAGCTATATTTATAGAGAAAGGAAAACAAGAAATTAAATAAAAGAATAAGCAATAACAAAAGTTAGTCATAGCTTATGTGGATCATGACAAAGGATTTAAAGAGCTGACAGATCAATGATGAATATTGAGTCTAAAAGCTGGTTACTCATATTGCATATTTGGGGCATAAAATGTAACAGGATCATGACAGTTGGTATAAATTTTCGACATATACAATAGAGAACAAAGCTCACCAAGCTTATCGAAAGTATCGATGATGTTATTCATCCTGTGGTGGGGATCGTTACGAAAAGTCAAGAATGCCCGGTCATCCTTAGCAAGTCTCAGTACAATTCGAATCATCTGGACCATAAGCTTGAAATCTCTTCCAAGGTAGCTTTTGTAACCCTTCAGATGCGTGGACAAGTCAGTGAAAGCCTTTGATCCGTAAGTACAACATAGAGAACTGATAACATCGACTTGGGTTTTGTTAAAACAACAATCGGCAGCCTTGTTGAAGGTGTACTTGATCAAGCCCAGACATAATCCATGCAATATTTCAACTGGCGTATCTTTACTTCGATCCCAAGAGGACAGACCCAGCAAGCCCTTACCATTAGAATCTTTGAAACCAAGAGTCATCAGATCATCAACAAAAATAAAGTGACCCTGTCTATCACGAACCCGGATCGAAAAATCAGGAATAGGTAAGTTGCTTGTAATAAATAAACTTTCCCAATGCCCTTTTTCCCTTGGAGCTGACACATATTCTTCAGGAGTGGTCCTTATATTTTGATTGTAATTATTGGCATGGCGGCACCAGAAGCACTTTCTACAAGCAAATGTAGCCGTTGAATGTTTTAAGCAAGTTATCTCGGCATGACGAGGATTGTCAGCCTTGATGAACAAAAGAGGAGCGACAACAAATACGTCTTCTTTAAGGACAGCATAAAACATCGGCATACCAGTTTCCAGCTGTTTTAGATTACCAACAAGGGAAGGCAACTACTCCATGGCACTGAGTTTGTTACACCCACATAAAAGCAATTGGTTCAAGTAATAATTGGCAATACTTAGGGGCAAAGCAGCAGGATTCATTAACCAAGTATCGAAGCAATTCCATTTTGATGTAGAATTACCACTAGTGTCATCAGAAAACAAGTTATAAGGAACAACTCTAACAACCTGAACGTTCTTGGGAATAGACGGGTTAAGGACGTTGTTGACAAAGTTGGAGTTAACAGGCAATGGGTGCTTGTGGTCGTTGGCAGCTTTAATCATGTTATAATGATCACGAATAATATTAGTGTCATCAATAGTATAGCTCGGGTTACAGATGATTAAACGTTCAGGAGTCAAATTTTGCATGACACTGGTATAGGCATGGTAATCTTCCACTTCTAAACGGCAAACATCATCAAGATTGAGCTGTGATACATCACATGCACCACACATATCTGAACTGCAATAAAAAATTAATCAATAAGACTGCTTTTAGCAGCGAAATTAATCTACTCTAACACATTAATTTACGGTGAGTCCACAAAAGTCGGTCGAAGTCTACTTCATTTATTTTCTGAGATTCAAAACTGTCTGCTCAAGCCTGAAGGCTCACACTGTGCGTTTAGTAGCTGTAAGATATTACTACATTGATATTCAACACTTTCTTAAGTCATTGAGGATGCCCTTATAGTTACAGAAAACATAGTGGTCGTAAAGTTCAACAGATTCCTCGCCTTTGTTTCTACTTATATGAAGAATATGACGCTGCAAACATGCTATACAGCTATATAACTGCACTAAACGGTGCTAAGTTAACGGATAAGCCTTAAAGATATAAGAATTTTATTCTAAAAATATAAAAACGACTGTACATGTAGTATATCTACAACTAGATTAGTATTAAACGATGTCGAGTTTTCGGATCACAATGAACAATAGACTAATCAGTTCAAATCAGTCGGTCACTATGCCACACCCATTTGATCTGCCCGGACAGCACCCAGCACCGCAGGGGACTGTGGTTTTTTTTTTTTTTTTTCTTCTTTTTTTACAAGGGGGGCTTACTCGCTGCCCTTCACCGTTTCCTATTTACCAAAAAAAAATTTAAAATGGAATGTTATTCAGAAATCAACAAGCAACGCATCATTGATCTTAACGCTAAGATTAGAGAAATGATTCAAGAAACAACAGAAATCTTGGTCAAAGAAGAAAATGTCACCAAGGCAGAGGCTGAGGCCTCGATTGGCTTTCATTATACGGCAACCTCTTTGATTTTAGTCAAACGTAAAAGTCCTTACAATATTTTTACTGAAAGACTGGCTGCCGAAAAGAAAGCCGATTCTTCCTCTGGCGACCAACCTCAAGGTAGCTTTTCTTACTATATCAAATGCTCACTTAAATACTAACCATGATTGTTTACATATTAAAAAGGTAGTTTCCAGAGAGAGGCCTCCCAATTGTACCAGGCACTTGGACCGGAAGACAAGGCTGAACTTGTGAAGAGTGCTCGGATCTCCAATTTGAGTGAGGACGAGATGCATTTGCGTCACTCCCGGGCACTCAGGCCCTTCCGAGATCACTTGACCGCTTACAATACCATTTGTGGTTCAAACTTCTTGCTGCTCTCTGTCCGATTGAAGCCCACTACCTCGGAAGATGGCTTCCCAACTCCCGTGTTGAACTTGTTTTCCGTTGGAGGTAAGTTGGGCCGCCCAAAAAGAGTGTTGAAAGTAATTATTAATTTTTTAATATTATCTATAGCGTACTGTAATGGCCTGAAACAAGATTTGGGCCAACAAATCCAGGACAATGTGATGCAACGTCTGGGAGTTGCCCAAAGGGCCAGTAAAAAGGGTACGTATCACTTTGAACTATTTATGGATATGTTACTTACATGACTATTACATTAATAGCGAGAGTCCACGACCAGAGCGCCAATCTTTTAAGAAAAGAATACAGGGAAAGACTTTTGCAGATGTACCGTAAGTCATTTACTCACTTTGAATTGCCATAACACTAACTATTACTTAATAGAACAACATCCTGGTACGGAAAATGCAAAAGCCTTTCCCTACAAAAAGCTTTGTGATGGAACTGCTGACTTGTTCATGCATGGTTGGCCCCGGGGCATCCCTATAAAGCACGCTTCAGAGCAAACAATTAGCAACATGAAGGCTGTCCTGAGGGCCGTAAATGGAAACAAAATTTCATTTGTTCTTCCGGAGGAGAAAATGGAAGAACCTCCAAACCCTGATGCCGACCATTAAAGGTAAATGTTTTTTTGTTTTGTTTTTTTTTTGTTTTTTAAAAATAAATTTACTTTTTAAAAATGGCATGTTATATTTGTTTGCGCATCGAATGCCATGAGTCTTTGAAATAAGTACAAAAATGTATGAGTCTTTAAAATAAACACAAAAATGTATACTACTCTCTTTAATTGTGTAAGGCTGGAAGTAAATTTAAGACTTTATTAATCTTTCGTAAAATAATGCAAAGACAATATGTTTTATTTGATTTAAAATATGTAAGTCCATTTATTATTGAGCATGATAATATCCCATAAAAGCTTTACAGTAAGCTCTAAGTAAACAATTAAATTTGGACATAGGGGTAGTCCAAAACTTTTGACAAACAACCATATGCTCGCGAGAGTAGCTATTGCTAGAATATATAACACTCAGGGGAGACGTCGAATTAAAGAAGACTTCATGCTCAAAGAACAATTCATAATTCCGTACGTAACGGATCACGAGTTCGAATGTCAAAAATTCCCAGTAGCTTGAGTCGCTTTGCCAATGGTTGAGTGATGGGAGAGTCATAATCTGTATGGACTTTTCGAGTTGTAAATGCCATTGTTTAAGGTAAGTACGATACAGCGCTAACGAGAACCCTTTGTCCAAAGCCGTGAATTCTTCTCTTGCTGATGTCAAAAGCAATGCACACTTGGGTCTGACTTGTTCTGTTGTACTTTTCTTGTAGTACCTATGGTTAGCTTGTTTCCTTCCACCTAGTGAGGGTCTTCCAACATTCGCAGGGGTGGGTGTATTGTGGAGCCGAAGTGCATGCTTGTTTCTGTTAGATGGCGATGAAAATTCCCTTGAACAGACATGGCAACGAGTTCTATCTATGTCGCATCCGGGTTTGGAATCTCTGGGAATAGCCATTTGGATTATGCGTAGCTATCGATTTGGTTAGTACAATAATAAAGAGGTTAAAAGGTTAGGTTAGAGGTAAAAGGTAAAAGGCGAAAAGGCGAAAAGAGAAAAAAGTAGTATTTCTTTTATAAACATGTGTACAGATGAACATAAGGGTCAGAATTTTATTTGAGCAAAATGGTGTTGACTAATAGCTATTGCAAAGTACAACATGCAAACAGACCTTCCCCATGTACATGTTCCTCCGTCTGGGAAATTCCAATGTCTCAAACAGAACGAGACATTCTAACCAGAGATCAACGACATGCAGGGAACGTCTATATATCAGCAAACGCAATACACTGTCTAAAGTAAATTATTAAAATTTAGTTATGTTTCTACAGTAGTCGCTCGATTTAAGGGTGTTCGATTTAAGGGTATTTTCTATTTAAGGGTGGATTTTGGAAAAACAGCTTCCGTCCCCAGCATTAACACCACTAAACCACTATTCTATTTAAGGGTGAGATTCCAATTCCCCATACCCTTAAATCGAACGATTTGACGGTGTATTTTTGACTTTTTTCTAACTTTTTGATCAAATTTATTGAATGTCCGAATAAAAATAAATATTTCGCAGTAATTATCATATTTCACGGTTAAAAATGGCGTAGTGACTTCTGTTTAAAATAGTCACGCTTTTCGATTTAAGGGTATTTTCTATTTAAGGGTGAGATTTCCGAAATTTTTGGTCACCCTTAAATCGAGCGACTACTGTATGAGACGTCAATTTAACAGATTATACTTACTTCATTTAAACGATAGGATCTTGCTGCCTAAACGTGAAACGATAAAGACATTATTGAAGTAAACACGGTACTTTTGATACGTTTTGTTCAAACACAATAGTAACTTGAATACTATGTTAAAACTACCTGATGCTAGAAAGGTGAGATGCCATGTAAGTTAAAAAGTGTAGGGGAGGAAAAAGTAAACATTCGCAGGGTATAGGGCTGTATTCTTTCTAATAAAAAAAAAATTATCTAATTCTATTGGACCGAACAAATGATTCGATTGCGCAATTATTCATCGATTGGATGAAAAAATTTTACTCTTGTATGTCCGATTTTTTTTAGGATACCCCCCTCACTTTTTCTGAATTTCCTTTTTTTTTTAAAAAAATGGGCGATCTCTAGCTTTATTTTTAGCACACATGATCATTACTGCTTTTCAATATCCAACAAAAACAAAGAATAATAAATGTTTTCAAGTATGAAAGATCTCAGTTTTTTTATAGTTATATTCTAAATATACTATTTAAATGTGGATATGAATTTAGAGGTATATAATATCATTGGGTTGATCATACAACCAATTCAGTGATTTTTTTTTACATTTCCTTGCAAAATTAAATAGGGCCAATCAAATCCAAGGGATCTGCATATCCAGGAAGTGTCTGTATTGACCATTATACGATATTTTTCTTAATAAAAGTAACAAAAACCATACAGGTCAAAAGAAATTAAGTTTTTATATACATGTGAATTTCAACTGTCTTTTTAACCTTTTGTTTTTGCATCTATTTTGATCATTTTCCGATTTCTTGGTTTTTCGCACTGTAACATTGCAAATTAGTTTTTTACATGCAGAGTAAGTCCCTTCTGATGAAAGTACTCTTTATTTGGTATTTTCTAAAACCTGTAAACATATAGTATATGATATGAGCTTTAAAATAAAAAAAAATATTGTCTATACATGTTTTTATATAAAAAATCCTTAAAAACGAATTATGTATTTTGAAAAATTATGCATAATATGTGGTTATACCTGTTGAAAAAAACAAAGTATGTTTAATTTTGTATTTTTAAATGCAGTTATACTCTATTTTCTTGTAGCTTTCAGATGGTGCTAATACTTTTAGTGATTGTCTTTCCAGTTGTAGCATGAATGTCAAAAAAGAGCTTCAAAATGACAAATGATCCTAAAAAAAACTTATACGTATACTATATACATCGCTCAAGCCATGAAACATTTATATATTGATTTAAGTATAGTATTTAATTAATATTGAATGTAATTCGATGGTTTCTTGTAATATGAATTTAAAATAATTCTGGTTTATAGTGTATTCAAATTCGACATTTATAAAATTAAGATTTTATTAATTCTTGCTGAAAAAAAAGTATGAGCCTAAAAAATGTCGATTTATTAATCCATACTCGGCTGCCGCTTTTTTTTTTTGCCCGAGCTTAAAATTAAATCTCTGGTAAAAGATCAATTTCCCCGGCGGCATTCAACAAATATACCCGTTATCATGATCGTACACGAGCCTAAAGTCTGCGCTTTTAATGATCCATGAAGGAATTAAGACATTGATATTAAGCTTGAGCATTTTTTTTATTTATTATATTTTTTTTATTTTTTTATTGTTCTTCATTATCAACAGCTGCAGTCTCTTCTTCTTCTTCTTCTTCTTCTTCTTCTTCATCGTCTTCTTCTTCATCGTCTTCTTCTTCTTCATCCTCATTGCCTTCCGCTGCGATATCCAGGGATTCCTCATCCTCATCGGCATCAGCGGTCGGATTAAGGAGTCTGGCAGTGTCAGACTGTAATCCAGAGTCAATAATGGTAGGAATTGCAACTCTCAGCAACACCAGGTGTCGCTTCGAGTGCGTTTTCCAATTATTGCTCTGGTCCAGCTGTCTTACCAAAAAGGTTTTTACACCCTCCAAGAACCGTTTCTCCTCCGCATCATTTGCCCTCTCCAATTCGGCACCATTGAGAGCCAATGCCTCGGTAAGCCTCTTGATCTCCACCTCAATATTGGAGTTCAGGTTGTGTGCTTCACGCTGTTTTGGTATGATATTTTCTTAAGTTAAATTTCAAATGTATCTGACAATAATGCTTTACTTACCTTAAGAAGTTTGATTTCTTCTTCAGCGTTCCTCACACACAACCATGTTTCCGTTAAAGGGTGGAGATCGATCCCCCAAAACTGGCTGTTACCATCCAGGAAAGTTGCGGCAGTTACACCTTCCTCTATGATAAACTTTTCAGTAGTCTAAACTTCGAATAACAATTTTGTACTTACGGAATTCCTGGTTGTAGATGTCCAGGAGGTCATCCAGGAGTTTTCGTTGCTTTCCAAGGGCCTTGCCATGTTGACCTGCAAGCTTTGTACCTTATAACGTATTACAATATTTAGAATTTAAGTATAACAACAAACAAAAAATTAGGACTTACCAATATGTCCAGATTTGAACATCAAGTTGGTGGTAAACTTGTAAGCTTGCAGGTTGGCGCGCATAGCATCCTTGAAAAGCAACTTTTTTCGTTGGACGAAATCTTCCCAAGATCCAACGGAGAGCTGGGCTGTTTCAGCGGACAAGTCGGCATAGGCGTGGGGTACGAAATTAGGTATTGTTTGCCTAATTTCATCAAGGACCTTCTCCTGCTTCTTCTCGATGTCTTTGATTTGTTGCATGAAGAAGGTCTCCCCAGCTACCTTGATACTACCATCACTGGCCGATACCGTTAATACACCATCTAATCTGTCAATGGCTGCATTACTGGTACCGGTAGAGTTTTCATACATTTTAACTTTGTGATAAAAAAGACATGTTAAATTTAGATATTTTTAGTGATCGTTTCATTATTACCTAAATCTGAACAAGATCGACTCCAAAAGATAAAATCTTGTTACAGATCCCAATGATGGTGGCAAATCACTCCAGATTTTGCTGCACGACTTGCCGCTTCGAGTCAACGCCAGATGCCTCTCCCAAGCCAACGAAATCTCCTCCTGGTTGACATCCTTCAACTTCACTAATCCTGCCGCCAGGATCTTCTTCGTACTTTTGTACTTCCCGTACAAGACACTTGCTATAAACCAAAATAACGTCGTTAGTGATATGCACCATTTCCATTACAAAAACAACATCTTACCGATTCCCCATTTTTTTCCATGTTACGATGGCGGATGGCCAACGTAAGAGTCAGCCTTCTGTTGGCCTGAGACATCGGACGTGTAATGGTGACGAATGGTCTGAGTGAAGACCATAAACGTTCCGATGCCTCGCCGTCAGTCCTGCCGTACGATTCAATGTTTTAGGATTAAAGCTGGACTGACAGCTAATAACATGCGCATAAGCATGAAAAACGGGGAGTGCAAGAGTGCCGTTAGCAGTCAAGTACGGGAAGTGAGTCTATCATAAGAATACATTAGCATTTATGCATCAACAATATTGAATAAGATGTTACCGTCAACGACTTCTCCAAGACACAAATGATGTCGTACATCAAATTAACGGGCGTAACAAGGCTGTCCTTGTCCTCCTGAAACAGCTCGTGGAGAACTGATAGTGGATATTTGAATCTTCAAAAAAAAAAAAAAAATTAGGATTAGTACATAATGTTTTTGGCATGTTTATCACATACCCTTCACCACTATCCATATCCACCATCTTTAGGGTGAGGTCATGGCGCGCGCATGAAGCCGTAAAAATTCCTTTTACGGGATACAACTTTGACTTGTATGAGGCGCCATTACCTGCAGCTCTAAATGTGTTCTCATTCATGAGAGCCTATTAATAAAAAAACCATCAGTAACTCTAGTTATAAATTCGCCCGAATATACAATCCTTACGTCTTTGGGAGCTTTTTCCTTCTTATAAAGCTCAACACATTCAGGCTTCACCCAAGCGTTCTCCACGGTGTTGACCAAATTAAGTTGATCAAGAGGACTTGCTTTCGACTTACATTTCATACTAAAGCACCCATCCATAGTAATGAAAATGCGATCCATAGGGTGAATGGAGTCCCTCTAAAAATAAAAGATGGTTATGGTTTCATTTTATCTATAATTTAATACGGAAACATACACTAGGACAAGCAGGACAGCACATCGCCTGATCTTTCAACAAAGATCGCTCGTTGACCATTTCGTCTGTCAACAAAATGACCTTGTTGTACATATTAAATACAGTACGGAAATTGTTCACTGACAAAGATGTCTACCCAAAAATATTGGTTAGATATATGAATATTAATTTTAAGATATTAATTACCAGTGGATTTCCTTGTAAGTTGTTATACAACTTTGTAATACCCTCAGAAGAAGACTTCAAGGTGTTTCGAACTTCATTAAAATAGCCCAACAAACCCAAATGAATGGCATTTTTGGGGTCTGTGGGCGAAGCAGGAAACATACCCATCAAAATTAATGCTTCTGCCAAGGGCTTACAGCTGCAGTAACTAACTGATACATCCTTGATGGCTATGTCAAAATTATATTCAGGGTTAGAGTATACTAGTATTTTGTCGAATATTTTGCTCTTTACCATGGAAAAAGTACATTCTGACGGTCTTTGTCAGAAGTACTTTTTCACTACCACATTGGCAATCGATTGCAACTGGAGAAACAATCTCGGTGGATGGCAAGCCACCTTGCTGACCAACAAAAACAAGGTAGTTAACGCACATGTTGTTAAGCACTTTGCCCCACTTGTTGGCTAAAACCTCCAGTTTTCTCTGGTACCTGATGGCCCTTTCCTTCTTGGCTTCAGCAGGACTGACTTTCGCAGGTACAGCCTTAACGATAGGTACAGACGAACGGATACGGATTCGTCGACGCTTGCGAGGTGCTGGAGCCGGTGTAGGGTCCATGGTGCAATTATGCAAGACGACGGTCGTATTGTTGTCATCGTCTGCTGGGTATTCAGACATGGGGTCCTAACTCGGTGCCTGAGCTTTTTGACGTGGTTGGCGTCTTGGGGGAGGAGAGGGTTGAAATGAAGCGATTTCACTCTCTGTAAGTTCGTAACCGGGATTCAAAAGCATTTGTCGCTTAAATTGTTCCATTTCGCGCCATAAGGCGATTTTCGATTTTCCCATTGTAAAGTTTTTGTAATAAGGTGAAAAGGAAGTGGCTTTTTTTTATTTGGACAATTTAAAATATCAATGGCGTCCCTTAAAAAAAAAAAAAAAAAAAAAAAAAAAAAAAAAAAAAAAAAAAAAAAAAAAAAAAAAAAAAAAAAACTGAGATATGTCGATTGTATAATGTACCTTATATCCAAATCATACAAAATAAACAGATCGTTTTGTAAAGTCTTATCTGTTAATGAAGCAACCTGTTAAGGCAGCTTTACAGCTGTTAAATGTTGATTACGCATGTTCAAAGTCGTCATTTAAGGATGAAAAAAACTTGAAATACGGAACTAATTTAGTACTTCTTGTAGCTTTCATATCTCTGAAATAAACTACCATTAGTATAGCAATGTCTTACCTATTGTTGATGCACCTTGGAGCTATTAAACGCAGAGTGTGTGTGGTCAGGCTTAAGCAGACAATTTTAAATCTCAGTGAAAGATAAGTCGACTTCGACCGACTTTTCAGGACTGGCAGTAAGTTGTTCTATTGGGTTTTATAATTTACACGCTGAAAAGCAGTCCTTTTGATTAATTTTTTATTGCAGTTCAGATACTTGAGGTGATCACATGAGACAACCTTTTCGGAGAGATAGTACATGGAATCATTAATCTTGGTTATTAGCGGGAAAAGGAACGCCTTGACAATGTCGGATTCTTGGAAGAACTTGAATACCTTGAAGTAGGGATGCTGTTGAACAGGAACATTGATATCAGACAGACGAGAGATTCTATCCGACACCCACAATTGCCGAGGGTTGTTGTCATTACCAACAATTATCATGGGAGGCTGAAACAATTTATCCTCAATCCACTTTTTACCTTGACTAAGCTTTATACGTTGGTTACTCGTATAATCAGGAAGATCAGATAAATAGGGGGACATGATTGGATTGGCAATGAGAAGTCGCAGGTGTTCAGAAACATGGTTGATAATCAGATCAGGCTTGTACGGCTTACCAGCAGCGTCACGACTAGAAAGATCAATAGGTGTGGTATAAGAAATACCTTCACGACTTTTCACATAATATTCAGCATGGGGAAGAATTGGAACAGTGCTTTTGGTAGATTTGTAAAACCTAGAAATACCATGGGGAGTAGGGTAGCCTTTGAAATCATAGTCAGTGTCAGTAGGCGGTGCCAAACATTAAATTTTTTCAAAAATCGCGGGAATTTTATTTCAAAGTTCCGGGAATCTTTTTAGGCTGGGAAAACTCGTCATAAGCCAAATACAGCTCTAGCTTCCCCTTTTCACTTTAAACCATTTTTCATAAATATTATCTTTTATTTTCAACTTTTAAAATGCCCAAACAATCTATTAGACAACAAACTTTGAACGAGATGAAGTCTTTGCTTAAGCACAATGTTATCATTGAAAATGAAGAAGAAGCGGAAGAGATGCACGAACTCTTGAGTGGATTAGAAACGAAACGTGTTCTCAACAGTGGACCTGGCATTCCTAAACTGGACCAGTATCGCGAGTATTTCCTCGAGTGGAATGACGAAGAGTTTGTTAAGATTTGTAGAATGAATAAGGACTCGTTCTTAAAGCTCCTTCGCTTGATTGAAGGTCACGCAGTCTTCAACAACCAGAGTTTCATTCCTCAAAGGGATGTTCACGTTCAACTTGCAGTAACCTTGAGACGATTAAGTCACGATGGAACTGGTAACAGCATTGAGCAGATTGCAACTTTGTTTGGAATCAGCAAAGGCTCTGTCACTGACTACACCAACCGCTGTTTTAAGGCAATCACCGACAACCTTAAACACTTGATGAGCTGGCCTAACAAGGAACAAAGAGAAAGAGCAGCTGAGGCCATCAAAAAGCAGCACTTTTTTCGTAATTGTATTGGATACATCGATGGCACCCATTTTCGCCTTTCTCAAAAGCCTACCTGACTGCCCCGAATCCTATTACAATAGAAAGGGGTTCTATTCTGTGAACTGTCAGGTTGTTTGTGTTGAACGAAAGATCATTTTGGGTTTCCAATCAGGACAAGCAGGATCGATGTGTGATGCCACATGTGTAGAGCATGCTAGCTTCATGATTAATAGAGAAGCCAAGTATTTCACATGTGGCGATGCTGCAAGCCATGAGTACCTTCTCGGTGATTCTGGATATGCTCTTCATCCATTTGTGCTTACTCCTTACAGAAGACCCCAGGTTGTAAGTTCGGTGAAGTGCGAAGACTTCAACAGGGTTCACTCTTCCGCCCGAGTTGCTGTTAAAAATACCATTGGTGTATTAAAGGGAAAATGGAGAATCTTGAAGAACATTCCGATTCAGATCAATTGTGAGGAGGATATCATGAGAATACATGCATTGGTACATGTATGCGGTCTTTTGCACAACTATTTGATCTTGGAAAATGACAATTTTGACGGTGATTTTTATGAGGATGTTGACGTCGGGCAGTCGAGATTAGACGTGGTGTTGCTGGAGTCATTTGACAACGTCAACAGTGTTTTCAGCCGTATATTGAATACTTGGAGGAATTCCGTTGCTGAAGTAGTTTTAGCAGATTATGCAGTACATTTCGGATATGATAATGAATAAACCAACTGAGTTGATATAATGTGCATTTGTGTTGAAAGGATTGGATTGCGTCCTTGCTGTGAAGGTTTCTGAACAATGAATGTAAATATATTTGTAAGAGGAAAAAAAAACTTTATTTAAAAAGAAAAAATATTAATCTACATCTGTTGAAGGATTACCGTCGTCGTGCTCATCTTCATCATTATCAAGATTGTAAAGATACTCTGTATCATCATATACATCATCATCATCGACAGGATCCCTCAGAGATCTACGAAAATCAGCCAGATGTCTGGTAATTTCCATAAATGACGATGTATTGAAGGCGTTCGTTGTCAGACAAGTAACAAGCAATTGGGACATACCCAAATCGAACTTCCTCTGACTATTTTCCCTCAATACTTCGTCCCTTCTCAACTGAGCCTCGCGATACTCAGAAGAAAAGTCTCTTTTGATCCTCTTGTTTCTCATGGCGTGATCGGGATCAACACGGATGCGATCAGCCGTTGGCATTTCAGGCTGAACGGTACCAGCGCGACTAACACCTCCACGACCACGACCACGAGCACGAGCACGAGCACGACCACGACCACGACCACTAACACCAACACCAGCACCCGCACCAGCACCGCCACGAACACCAGCAACACGAGCACCACCAGCACCACCACCAGCACCACCACCAGCACCAGCACGACCACCACCAGCACCAGCACGACCACCACCAGCACCAGCACGAGCACCACGAGCACCACCAGCACCAACACCACCACCAGCACGAGCAGCACTACCACTGTTGACATCGTTGTCATGGTCCACAGCATGATACGACCCAGCATCATCAAAATCTCCACCATCATCAAAAGAAAAGGAATCGAACAAATTATTCTCTGATGATGATTCAAATAATGGTGTGCGACTTGATGGCTGGGTATTAGATGGAACCAACAGAGGAGAAGAAGCAACATTGGTAGCTGGTACTTCTACAGATGACGGCTGGCCAGACAAAGCTTCACCAAAAGCAGGACGAGGGAAAGAGAGAGGTTCGTGAATGGCCCAACAGAAGAAAAACGGAAAGAAGAAGAACCCTCAGTAGACACAGGTGCAACAGACAAAGACCTAGCAGCCAAAGGAGCACCAGAGGAAAGAGAAGCACCAGCAGCCAAAGGAGCACCAGCAGCCAAAGAGAAGCACCAGCAGCCAAAGGAGCACCAGCAGCCAAAGGAGCACCAGCAGCCAAAGGAGCATCAGAGGAAAGAGAAGCAGATGATCTTGTTGAAGATTCAGCTGCATCACTTCCAACCAACAATCGACTGACCTCTTCAATCGCCTCTTGTTGACCACCAAAAACTGCAAAAGTTTGTGCCTCAATTGCAGCTAATAATGGCCTTACTCTGTTGGAGTATGTGTACTCGGTACAACTAGCGGCACCATGGAAAGCCACACAATAAGGAGTTATGTTTGGTCTAACACCATGCAGAGAAGCCAAACGAGAAAATCCAACACACAAATGTTCACACTTGATCTCGATGGAGGTCAGTCCACGTTTAATGTCATCTGTAGTCAAGCCAAAACCGGTAGAGTTCATATCTCTTTCTACATCGCGATACTTTGCGAGTTGGCGTTCAAAACGTTTTCCAACCGATTTGAAATTCCAGGAAGACGGAATTACTTTATCTGCCAGAAGTTGCTGAAACAATCTCTCAATGATCTCTCATTTTTTTATCTCACTACCAGCTGAAGAGCGGAAGACTTTTGTCCACCAAGATGTATCTTAAAAAGGTCTTGATTACTCTCAAAGAAACCAATCATAGCCTTAATTTGACCAGGTGTAGTTTTGGTTCTATCAAGGCTTTTATCTGCGGAATCGTTGTTGGAAGGACCGCCACCAGTGTTTCTGTTTATTTGATCAGACATTTTAGATTGTACGTTTTAGAGAAATTTAAGGAGAAAAAAGGTAAGTTAAAAACTTAGAAAAACTTTATAAAGCAAACGCAGATGCGATTTGATGCTTTTAGATTATCATAAAATAAATAAAATGTTACATTTTCACGTCATATTTCCTTCTCAACAACCAATAGAAAATGAGTATTCTTTCCCGAGATTTCTCGGGAATACTTTTTCTTGCCCGCAAAATCTCGGGCACAAAAAATCGTTCTCGCAAAGTTTAGGGAATTTGGCTGGGGAAAAATTCCCGGGAATGTTTTTTAAAAATTAAGGAAATGATTTTTTTAATGTTTGGCACCCCCTAGTGGGATCCAGAGCAAGTTGATCTTTGTATTGCCGAATTGCTATTTCAATCAAGTATCTACCGAATTCAAGGGTCACTTTAATTTCTTCCTCTGAATACTTCATACTTGAAGACTTGAAAAAGAGAAGAGCATGCATGTAATATTCATTTTTGAAAAGGAAAGTAAGGGTTGCGATTAACATCATCAGGTACTTGAGGTTCATCATCAGTGGTATTGGGGTTGATAGATTCACTAACACCAGGACCACCATCCAACTGTACTTCATCATTTAAAATGTTTTCAAAGGGGTCAAAGTCACGTCCGATTTCACTGTCATCCTCCTCAAAACCATGGGAGCTTCCGAAAGCTTCCTCGAGAGTTATGTCTGGTTCAGGCTCAGGTTCAACATCAATGTCTGTCATCATTGGACTAATAGTTTGAAAGGTAAGTATATACATTGGTTAAGTTTTCAATAAAAAAATTACCTTCCAGAAGGTGAATCAATATTCATGGAGTTATCTGCCTCCTCTTGAACCTCAGGAGATGGATCAGTATTAATTGCTTCATTTTGAACCTCGTTAGGGTTGTTTGCATTTCTAATGTTTGTGAGTAAATTTTCCAATAACCCTCTTATATATTACTTACGAGAGGATTGCATTCGCTACGTTTAACCGGTGTGATTCAGAGCTGAGATGTCTTGTATGATTGCTCCGTCTATCAGTACTGTATTCACAAACATTACAGCTCAAGGCTTGATCTCGAATTTCGGCATTTAGTTCCACAAGGTTATGAAATCTTTTTGTATGGTTTGACATAATTGTATAAAAAAAAGTTATAGTGGTAGAGAAATACGTTATTGATGCCTTTATATTCAAGTTTGGCCATTGAATATGACAGCTGTTTGCATTTGGCGCTAATAAATGATGACAGCTGTTACAGCTTTGGAGCTTAGCCCGAATGAGACATCCATGTAATTTGATTGGTGTACAGCCGACTCTGGCGGCTATTTGTCACGCAACTCTCGCATATTTTTTCATGCTATCGTTCTTTTCCTTTTCCCACTCTTTTTTTTCTTTTGTCTTTGACCATGACGCTTTGTTTGATTCTAACGCGTGATTTATTGTAGTTTTCTTTGGAAGGGTTGGTATCTGATAGGAAATAGAAATACAAAATCATATTGATGACCTTGTCTTTTTATTTTAGTTACAATCATTGATGTACTCGCGTGTTTTGACACTAAAAGGTAATCATGATATATTGACAAGAACTCAGTTTACTCACAGATGTTTACTTTAGACTTCCATCGGAGATGTCAAACAGATACAAGGGTACGTTTTCATTCTTGTTTGTAATAATGATTCCATGCTAACACGCGATTTATTTTATTTTTAGTCCCTTTTTTCATGTTTTGGAAATGTAAGTTCCATCAACCTCTTCTTATTTGCAGATTATTAACATGATTTTCGTATTTTTAATAGATATAGGGTGTTCTCAAGCAAATTATTTAAAATTTTAAAATAAATCCTTTAATTAAAATCAAAAGTCACAAAAAACACAACTCCAATTTGGGAAAAAGCTAAACTGTCATTTGTACATGGCACAGAGGCCAATGTTATTTTATTTCTTTCTTGTATTCTTATCAAAATAAACATACTTTACATTTGCCTCTACCTATTTTAAAAATGAACAACCAAAATAATGCTTCTTACCCTATTGATGGTCAGCCTGAGAGCAGCCAGAATGGAATCGTAATGAAAGAAAAGAATTCCCACACAAAATGAGTGATGTGATTTTAGTACTTTTTCGAGTTAAAATGATATTTTAATGTCAGAAAACATTTTTTAAAATTTGACCCCTCCATAGTGGTGGGGTCAAATATTTTTAATTAAAATCAAAATTTTAAAATTTTAAATAATTTGCTTGAGAACACCCATAATCTCTTTTAACTTTAGTAAGGTAAGAATTGTCGCTGCTTTCTTTAAACTGTTTTACTTGCCATCATCATCATTATTTAGTTATAAAATGTATAAAACTGTTTAAGACCGTTTAAAAAGGTAAGCGCATCATTCAGCTAAAATATTAGGCAAAAAACTGACATGTCTTTTGTATAGTTTGCGCTTGATTATCAAATGCCTTTAAACGCAAGTCTGTTTTGTCTTTGCTGGCGTTCGCCGCAATACGTTCATCAAATTTTGCCAGCACAAACGTTTTATGCCCTCGTCATCATTTTAATAAACTATTTCTTTTTTGGCATTTTTATGCTCTCAACAATATTCTATTTTTACATTTTTAAAATTTTGGAGCAGTGTTTATTTGTTTATTCGTGTGATTGTTGTGGGTCGCACAAAAATTGCTAAAACGAAAACGGTATATTTCTGCTCGCTCCTTTTTCGGAAGATTTGAGAAAAAAAAAGCTGAGATTTTCAACTGGTTGTGTACGTTTGAAGAAGTAGTATTTGTAAAAGTTTTAGCGGTAACTCGATTATTTCGAAATATGATATCAACACCTTAGGGTCATTGCTGAGATAATAGTCTTAAATTGCTAAACGGCAATTTCAAAGAACGTAAATGTCGTATTTGACGCCTAATTCCACGAATATAATTACTCTTATCTTGTCACTCAATTATAATACATTTAACCTACGTATTATAAGTACCATATTGCGAATACATTCCTATTGGTACGACACAGTACCAGCTCCCTCATATGTCAAACTGAGATCAGATTTCATAATCGTTCCTGGATTGGTCGAGTAGCAGCCGAATCTTCTAGTTTCTCATAAATTTATTTTAGAAATCCAATCAAGGACCCTGTCATTGAATGGATAAACTATATTGCTCTAGAAGTACCGGATATGGGTCAACTAGCTCCTTGTATATAACAATAAGCTATGTTTCATATGTAACCGATTTCTAAATCTAATTCTACCATTTCCCAGTTTGCGGGTAAATAGTCAATTCGATCTGCGAAGGAAAAATCTTGAAGTAATAATTGAATATAAAAAGGACCTCTATTTTTATCATGACAAACTCTCCAACTTATAATAAAGGATTATAGAGTCTCATTTCTTTACTTGCTTTATTTTCCCAATTACTTTTCCCTTTTTATTTCTCAATTACCACAGTAAAAACACTTATTTGGACCAATGCAATTGACGCAAAAATACCCGGAGTGGTCGTGGTACTTACTTGGGCAATTTTGAGCAAGATATAAAAAGAGTGAACAAATAATGAAAACCAGCGGTGACATTATTAAAAACACCCACAGTTCGCAAGCCATGGAAATTACGACTGTGCTAAACGCACATAAAATGAAACCATCGGTAATCAAAATTTATATATATTATCCAAATTTGGAATTCTGACACATTAAATACAATGGAAGGGCCGATAGAAAATATTATTAGAAATCATTGAAGCAATCCGTCGGCGACCACGTACCCTTTAATTCATGTAGAATTCAATCAGTCAAGATAAATTTACGGACTAGCAATTCTAATAACAGTCAGCTTTTAAAATAGTATAAATAGACCACATTATTTCATAGTTAAAACTTCAGTCAAATAAAGTAACAAGGACTTATAATCGTACCTATAGTACCATTGTTTTTTTTTATATACTTTATATTTCTTTCATCGAATCAGAAGTAATTGATTTGTAATAGTGCTCTTCACCAAATTAGCAACCTTGTGTAAATGACTGGTAGACACCATCAGTCGTCGCTTCAACTTGTTATGAGCACCGTCAACTCTGGATGTGTTGATAGTGCCAAGGTGAGGGTGCTTATAGATCCAAGAGTTTGCAAAATGTTCTTTCAACGGCACCCATGTTGACTCACGATACGCATACAGTGGGAGGTATCTTTCGTTCAACCCGTAATTATCTCTCAGGACACTCACGTTTCGGTCACGTTCTTCTTCATTGAAACTGTTCATACAGCGATTCCATATGACCATAAACTTATTCCAGTCATCATCTGTTAAAAAATATTTTTTTTATTTGGCCAACACGTTCTTGTTGATATGCCAACGGCAGATAAGAATCGTGCTGAATTCAAAAATTGTCTCTAAAGCACCTTTTAGTGCGAAATCACGGTCAATAGCAATAATGCTAGGATCGAACTCCTCTAAATAGCACCAAAACAACTTCATACGTAATGTGGAAACCGCCCACTCATAATTGGCTTGGGTTTCGTGTTTTAAAAAAACACCGCAGACAAAAAATGTCTTATTGAAGCAATCCATGCCAACAACGTGCAAGAATGGCATACCAAATTTGTTGGTTTTATAAGTGCAATTCATGAAAAGCACTTGAGGAAAACGTTCAACCATTTCCAAGGAATGAGAGTGCGCAAGAAAAAGGTTTTTGATGGTACCTCCTCATTCCAGTTGTACGCGTAAATAAATCCAGAGTCGGCTTCAGAGAACTGATTTAAGAGAGCTTTCAAAGGAGAGCGACAATCTAAATACTGTTCACAAATCTTCTGTCTGGCATTGTAAAGCGTAATAGGTCGGAAGTAATCACCGGGTAAGTTTTAGCGAACGGAAATCAAAATATCTTGAGGTGAGCTATTAGCAATCTTCATATCCTTGATTACCTTCATGTGATTCTTTCCAATCGAGCATGCCGTAAATGACCAGCGAAAAAATTAGCAGACTCATGAATATGTCCAGTATGGTTTAAGTGCAGGGTGAATTTTGCATTATAAACACCCTGATCTTTTCTCCCACCGGAACCGACCACCCACTTGAAAGGGCAATTGGTGCGTCCTGTTTTCGAAAGTAGTTTACCGGTGGACTTACTGCGGTTTTTTTCATTGCGATCGCACTTGAAATCCAAAGACTAAAGGCGACGATCGGGGTAGTAACGAGAACGGCCCAAAGAAACAAGGTAGCCGTTGTCCTTGCAGGATCGATCACATACTTTTCGAGAGTTTCGCAAGAGCTAAACTCAAGTTGAGAAGGGGCAGAAGTAGACAAAACGACGAAGGTTTCGCCCTCGAGTTCTTCGTCGAGATCATTGTCGTGATCATCGTTAAGATTATCTACTTCGTAGACGCTTTCAAAATTTCTTCCGGTTCGAAAGGGAAGGGGATCCTGCAAATCATGGTCAGAAAGGTAAGAGGTGTTTTCGTTTGATAAAAACATTGAAACAATAAAAGTTAAGACAAACCTAACGGGAGTAGGATGAAAGTAAAAAGGTACAATTTATTAATGCTTTGACAGAGCAGTCCCGCCGAAATGTCAAAATATAAGTGAAATCAAATACGCAGTTCCATAGGTCAAAAAAGACCAAAACAAATTGAGGGGGTGAAAATAAGAAAAGAAGGGGTGGAAATAACAATTCCCTTATCAGGTCAGAGATTCTGTGTGTCGTGATCTGCTATATTGTTGCTACATTAAATAAATCCATATCTATGACATCAGTACATTAAGAATGATGAAGGAATCAATTACCCAATATAGATAGTTAGTACTATCATATCATAAGGTTACAAGAACACAGTGACTAAGTCTTACTAAAGTTATGGAAGGACAATGTGTCTAAGATGACAGTAATTCCAAGTGTAACATATCTACAAAATATACAGTTAAAGGTAACAGGATACACACTGGGAAAATGATAACAACTTCAAAGATACACTAAAGATAGTGGCACAGCAGATAGTCATTTTTATATAAATACTTGTTTATTTTATTTCATAATAAAGACAATCTTATAAACAGTCTCATATTACTTATATACTGCCTTATAATTTTACTTACCTATAAACACAACACTGTGTTCAAAACAATCGGTTTTCAGGTTAGAGAAT